TCTTCAGTCTGATATGAATGCTTCAGTCTCTGTTCGATTTCTTCAATCTCCCTGTTTAAACTATTCCTTCTTTGTATGGAGAGTCGTGTCTGCTTAAGCATTTCCGTTAAATTCTTCCTTCTTTTGTAATGTCGTCTGTGTTCTCTCTCTACATTGAACCTCTTTCTGGCTATCCTCAAAGGAACATGTTTCAGACAGACTCCATATGCTTCAGAAGTCAGTTTTCTGTTCCTTGTGTTGGATTTTTATTTCTTAGAACATTTTCCCATTGAATGTTTGTAAGTTCCCTGTTTATTTTCTCCCAGTCTATCCTTTTATTATGAAAATTGAATTTATTGAATAACCCTTCTCGCATGTTGTTTCTCTTGGGCCTACTATCGTTATTAATGTTAGTTTGCACTTCAATGAGCTTGTGGCCCGAGTACGTAGTGTCTGAGACAGTAATGTCTCTGATTAGCTCATCATTGTTCGTGAATATCAGGTCCAGCGTGTTCTCGTTCCTAGTTGGTTCTGTAATCTGCTGACTGAGCGAGAATTTGTCACAGAATCTCAGTAGTTCTCTGACCTGTGGTTGGTTATTTCCAGGATGACTTCCTGCTATAATGTTATTGTTTACTATTCTCCACTTTAAGCTGGGTAGATGAAGTCTCCAAGGAAGATAATATCTGGTCCTGGGGTTGCTAGGTTATCAAGGATATTCTCTATTTTGTGGAACTGTTCAGTGAATTCCTCAACTGTTGCATCTGGCGGTTTGTATATTCAAAATAATAATTAGATTTATATTTTCTACCTTGATTCCCAGTACCTCTACCACCTCATTGGATGCATGCAAGTATGTATGTATGTATGTATGTATGTATGTATGTATGTATGTATGTATGTATGTATGTATGTATGTATGTATGTATGTATGTATGTATGTATGTATGTATGTATGTATGCATGTATGTATGTATGTATGTATGTATGTATGTATGTATGTATGTATGTATGCATGCATGTATGTATGTATGTATGTATGTATGTATGTATGTATGTATGTATGTATGCATGCAAGTATGTATGTATGTATGTATGTATGTATGTATGTATGTATGTATGTATGCATGTATGTATGTATGTATGTATGTATTTATGTATGTATATGTATGTATGCATGTATGTATGTATGTATGTATTTATGTTATGTATGTATGTATGTATGCATGTATGTATGTATGTATGTATGTATGTATGTATGTATGTATGTATGTATGTATGTATGTATGCATGCATGTATGTATGTATGTATGTATGTATGTATGTATGTATGTGTATGTATGCATGCAAGTATGTATGTATGTATGTATGTATGTATGTATGTATGTATGTATGTATGTATGCATGTATGCATGTATGTATGTATGTATGTATGTATGTATGTATGTATGTATGTATGTATGCATGTATGTATGTATGTATGTATGCATGTATGTATGTATGTATGTATGTATGTATGTATGTATGTATGTATGTATGCATGTATGCATGTATGTATGTATGTATGCATGCATGCATGCATGTATGTATGTATGTATGTATGTATGTCTGTATGTATGCATGGTATGTATGTATGTATGTATGTAGGTATGTATGTATGTATGTATGTATGTATGTATGCATGTATGTATGTATGTATGTATGTATGTATGTATGTATGTATGTATGTATGTATGCATGTATGTATGTATGTATGTATGTATGTATGTATGTAGGTAGTATGTATGTATGCATGTATGTATGTATGTATGTATGTATGTATGTATGTATGTATGTATGTATGTATGCATGTATGTATGTATGTATGTATGTATGTATGTATGTATGCATGTATGTATGTATTATGTATGTATGTATGTATGTATGTATGTATGTATGTATGCATGCATGTATGTATGTATGTTTGTATGTATGTATGTATGTATGTATGTATGCATGCATGTATGTATGTATGTATGTATGTATGTATGTATGTATTTATGTATGTATGTTGCATGTATATATGCATGTATGTATGTATGTATGCATGTATGTATGTATGTATGTATGTATGTATGTATGTATGTATGTATGTATGTATGTATGCATGCATGTATGTATGTATGTATGTATGTATGTATGTATGAAGTCTCCGAGTAAGATAATATCTGGTACTGGGTTTGCTAGGTTATCAAGGATATTCTCTATTTGTGGAAACTGCTCACTGAATTCCTCAACTGTTGCATCTGGCGGTTTGTATATTCAAAATAATAATAAGATTTATATTTTCTACCTTGATTCCAAGTACCTCTACCACCTCATTGGATGCATGCAATGTATGTATGTATGTATGTATGTATGTATGTATGTATGTATGTATGTATGTATGTATGTATGTATGTATGTATGTATGTATGTATGCATGTATCTATGCATGTATGTATGTATTCGTGTGTATATCCATTGTAATCTTACTCAAGTCTGTAAAATTCTTGTATAAAACATCAATCTTTCTCTAAAAAAATCCTTAAAAGTTTTCAAAAAGTATTCGGAACTCCTTCACAACTTTGACCATTAAGTCAAAATATTACCAAGCAAAGCATACACTTGAGATACTCGCATACACACAGACATACACACACGCACTCATACACACTCACACACACACACACACTCACACACATAATTAAGAGCAATGGGATTCAGAGTCAGGTAAAGACACTGTGTCATTGAACACCGAGCTAAAGTTGTGAAAGGTTCAGAGATATACCCTCAGACTAGTCCCAGAGATGACAAGCATGAGCTACATGGAAAGACTAAGGGTAATAAATCTCATGCCATTCAAAGAGAGGAGAATTATGAAGAGACATGATTACCACATACACAATCATCCGGGGTAATAGACATGGCAAACAAAGACAGTTTACATGTTATTTAAGATCCACGGCACACGAAGCAATAGGGACACCAGAATGAACCATGGCAAGATTATATATGAAAATCAAGTGTAAAATTATTGACACAATGGAATGGGTTAGCAGAGTAATACTAGATAAGCACATGATAGTTTCTCAGGCACCAGAGACAGAACAGGAACGGGAATAATGAGCAGATTATCCTCCCGAATTATCAAGAGATATTAACAAAGTTCCTCACAAGTGAATGCTATAAGAACTTGAGACTCTAGAGGTGGTGACTGGGAGGGCGCTGAGTAAATATGGAGGTCGCAAGGATTCGCAGAATATGAAAATAATATAAAAGAGAAATGAGAATAGAGGCAAAAATAATCGGAGTAATGGATACTTGACTTCAACAAAGATAAAGGGGATATGATGAACACTGGGATGGAAGTAGGAAGACATAGCGAACATGGAATGAAAACGACTCCCAGCAATAACAACAGCAAAGGGCTCTGGGAGTCGACATACACACAAGCGGAATGCTCTGAAAAGAGAAGCTGTGGACGCCACCTCCATCCATAATTTAAGGCCAGATTTGGCAAAGAATAAGAACGTCAGAATAGTTAAAAATTGTAAGGCAGTAGGTATCAAAAGGTTAGTAATTACCTAAGTGTTGTTACAGGATGAGAGCTACGCTCGTGGATGGTGTCCCGTCTTCCCAGCACTCTTTGTCATATAACGCTTTGACAGGGTATAAAGATCTAGATCTCACTCCCGCGTAGACATTGTTAGGGAAATACTCTTTGGTAAGCACCGGAACCCAACATAAAGAGGATCACCTCATCAGCGTAGGCGAACTTCTCAAAACATCAGATCAGCATTTATGAACCTGTTACACACCTTCGCGGAGAACTCAGTAAACTTATTAACTGGGAGCAAATAAGTCAGTGCCTGGAGAGAATAGGCACAGGGCCACATGCCGCATCTGCACGACACAAAACATTATGGAAAACGAGAAGATGAAACAATTACAACAGGGCATAACGGTCCCTACACAGGAGAAGAATGCAGATGACACAATTACTCAAACGCCCCACTTTCTCTCTCTCTCTCTCTCTCTCTCGTTATGATGTGGTCTAGGATGTTGTTGCCTCTCACAGCTGCTGGACCACTGTGGTACTGTACTTGCTCTAGTACTCTGTCCCCCAGGGTACTGTACTTGCTCTAGTACTCTGTCCCCCAGGGTACTGTACTTGCTCTAGTACTCTGTCCCCCAGGGTACTGTACTTGCTCTAGTACTCTGTCCCCCAGGGTACTGTACTTGCTCTAGTACTCTGTCCCCCAGGGTACTGTACTTGCTCTAGTACTCTGTCCCCCAGGGTACTGTACTTGCTCTAGTACTCTGTCCCCCAGGGTACTGTACTTGCTCTAGTACTCTGTCCCCCAGGTACCCCACTCTGTCCCCCAGGGTACTGTACCTGCTCCAGTACTCTGTCCCCCAGGGTACTGTACTTGCTCTAGTACTCTGTCCCCCAGGGTACTGTACTTGCTCTAGTACTCTGTCCCCCAGGGTCCTGTACCTGCTCCAGTACTCTGTCCCCCAGGGTACTGTACTTGCTCTAGTACTCTGTCCCCCAGGGTACTGTACCTGCTCCAGTACTCTGTCCCCCAGGGTACTGTACTTGCTCTAGTACTCTGTCCTCCAGGGTACTGTACCTGTTCCAGTACTCTGTCCCCCCAGGGTACTGTACCCGCTCCAGTACTCTGTCCTCCAGGGTACTGTACCTGCTCTAGTACTCAGTCCACTGCAGCAATGAAAGTGACGACGTTCCGGACCTTCACAACATTAATGAGGATCCAGGACGGAGCTGAACGTGTTCACCTTCACTACATGTGAAGGTGAACACGTCATGTTCACTTCCAGTCAACACTTCACATGTGTGTTAACTTCTTTATCCAACTTAAAATTAAACGAGTGAGACCCTCATAGACAAGAAGTGCCAACTTTACCAAGTGCCATGAAAATGGCGCGTTAATTCAACACTCGTCCATAAAAACAGGCCTTATGTCGAGGTAACTTACCACTTCATCGCCAAGAAAGTGTGTGTAGCATTTAATGGAGGCGGTTCCGCCAACCTGAGCGACCACTTCCGTGTTGTTCTGTGCCTCTGGCGTGATGCTGGAGAGGTTGGCGGCCCTGGGGTGTTTCCCGCGCCCGTGGCGGCCATGATGGTGATGGCGCGCGTTCACACCTGAAGGAAGTAATATATAAATCAATCAATAAATAAACAGCTTTGCGAACGAGGAACTGTGTTAAGATAAAATTAATTTAAAACATTCACTGAAAAGCAGTTCCATTCTTTGACACATTTAATATATCCTGAATAATGAGTTGTTATTGTCATCAAGAAATTACATAAAAATAGAAGAATATTTTTTTATTGCCCTGCTACAGGTGACGTCACTTGGTATCTCTGAGTCAAGTGAAGCACCGTTACCATTGAGCTGCTGGGAGTCAGATGACGCAGCGTTACCATTGAGTTCCTGGGAGTCAGATGACGCACCGTTACCATTAAGCTCCTGGGAGCCAGATGACGCACCGTTACCATTAAGCTCCTAGGAGCCAGATGACGCAGCGTTACCATTGAGCTGCTGGGAGTCAGATGACGCAGCGTTACCATTGAGTTCCTGGGAGTCAGATGACGCACCGTTACCATTGAGCTCCTGGGAGTCAGGTGACGCACCGTTACCATTGAGCTCCTGGGAGTCAGGTGACGCACCGTTACCATTAAGCCCCTGGGAGTCAGATGACGCAGCGTTACCATTAAGCCCCTGGGAGTCAGATGACGCAGCGTTACCATTGAGCTCCTGGGAGTCAGATGACGCAGCGTTACCATTAAGCCCCTGGGAGCCAACCATGACAGTGTGACACTAAACAAGACAATAACAACTCAGACATTCTCGGCCATTTTCAAGGCTGACTGACTCCCAGCAGTCAGAGTGTAGGGCAACAGCTCCTGCTGCTGCTGACCTGTACACTCAGTCACAAGGCACTCCGCGCCTGCTGCCACAACTACAGGTCTATACCAGTGGATGGTTTATCGAACAAATTACCGGGAGACATAACAGACGGCGGATTGTTTCAAGCGTAGGCTAAACATGGATATAACTGAGTTTGGGTGGATATAAATAGGAGCTGCTTCGTATGGACCAACAGGAACTGAACCGAATAGGCCAATAGGAGCTGCTTCGTATGGACCAATAGGAGCTGCTTCGTATGGACCAATAGGAGCTGCTTCGTATGGACCAATAGGAGCTGCTTCGAATGGACCAATAGAAGCTGCTTCGTATGAACCAATAGGAGCTGCTTCGTATAGACCAATAGGAGCTGCTTCGTATGGACCAATAGGAGCTGCTTCGTATGGACCAATAGGAGCTGCTTCGTATGGACCAATAGGAGCTGCTTCGTATGGACCAATAGGAGCTGCTTCGTATGGACCAATAGGAGCTGCTTCGTATGTACCAATAAGAGCTGCTTCGTATGGACCAATTGGAGCTGCTTCGTATGAACCAATAGGAGCTGCTTCGTATGGACCAATAGGAGCTGCTTCGTATGGACCAATAGGAGCTGCTTCGTATGGACCAATAGGAGCTGCTTCGTATGAACCAATAGGAGCTGCTTCGTATGAACCAATAAGAGCTGCTTCGTATGGACCAATTGGAGCTGCTTCGTATGAACCAATAGGAGCTGCTTCGTATGGACCAATAGGAGCTGCTTCGTATGGACCAATAGGAGCTGCCTCATATAGGTCAATGAGAGACGCCTCGTATGGCCCAATAAGCCTTATAACCAAAAAAATAATGAAAATGAACAATTAACAAAATTCTATTAACAACATGATAGTAATAATAATAATCATAATTTATTGATTAATATTATTTTGTATGAAAATGCTTAATATAATCATATTTTAATCCCAGGAAGTGCTTTGCTCCCAATTTTAATAACTTAACAAAATCTTTCCTCAGGAAGGTGCCATTAAAAAAAACGTCCGCCAAGCGAGACGACGACAAACTTCATTGACTTTCATTTTATTTCGTCCATACGTGTTCCTCTCCTTAGAAATTACCATAAAAATAGCACGAGAGAGCGAAAAGATACGAAGTTCCCTAAAAGACACGATATATATTTTGTCCACAGCACACCATCCTGGGAGAGAAAATGTCTTTCCCGTTCAACAGTATTTTAGCTCTAAGATATTCATTGTTGCTAGTATTGTTGTTGTTGTTGTTGTATTGTTCTTGTTGTTGTTGTATTGTTGTTGTTGTTGTATTGTTGTTGTTGTTGTTGTATTGTTGTATTGTTGTTGTTGTTGTTGTATTGTTCTTGTTGTTGTTGCATTGTTGTTGTTGTATTGTTGTTGTTGTTGTTGTTGTTGTTGTATTACTGTTGTTGTTGTATTACTGTTGTTGTTGTTGTTGTATTGTTCTTGTTGTTGTTGTTGTTGTTGTTGTATTACTGTTGTTGTTGTATTACTGTTGTTGTTGTATTACTGTTGTTGTTGTATTACTGTTGTTGTTGTATTACTGTTGTTGTTGTATTACTGTTGTTGTTGTATTACTGTTGTTGTTGTATTACTGTTGTTGTTGTATTACTGTTGTTGTTGTATTACTGTTGTTGTTGTATTACTGTTGTTGTTGTATTACTATTATTGTTGTTGTTGTATTGTTGTTGTTGTATTACTGCTGTTGTTGTATTACTGATGTTGTTGTTGTATTTCTGTTGTTGTTGTTGTTGTTGTATTAATGTTGCCCCCCTCAACCCCCCGCAAGCACAACTAGGTGAGTTCCCGCATACTGACACACACACACAAACCAACAAACAATTAGTCAGTATATTTGTACACCTCATTTGTATTTCTGCACCAATGGACTTCAACTAGAGTTTTGGAAATCATGTATTTTGGTGTATATCACGCGATTTATTTGTGAATTTGTGTATACTGTTATTACGAATATTGTATGTTCGAACCGGGTATCGAATGGTCACCATTTTGTTCATCACTATACGAGTCCCCCTTACCACTATTATCCACCATTATATTATGTTATGCTTAACCTGCCATATCAGGCTACAACACCTTCTCACCTCTCACTTGCCACAACAACCTTCTACAACATCCTCAGACCAAGTCCATTCCACCCAGCGGTCGATCCCAAAAACACATTCATCAACTTTAAAATGCTGTTCATTCAATATAGAAATTTTCTCAATTATAAACGAAAATTGTTATATATTAGCATATTGTGCATCTTTAGGCATTAGTTAGGTTAAGTTAGGCCTAGATTAGGTTAGGTATTTAGGTCCTGTTGGCTATTATTTGTAGTTGTACGAGAGTGAAGCCCGTAAGAGTTACGTGCTTCCCGTACATAGAAGGTTAGAGTAAGTTAGGGATAAGTTAGAGAAAGTTATAGTCGGTCAAGTTAGGTTTGTGCGTGTTAGTGCATCATATAAAAGCCGTTGAGGAAAGCCTAGAGGGCTGGCTGGTGGAGGCTGGCCCACCAGGCCTCTTCAAATGACATTTTTATCAATTTCAAGGCCCAGACTGAATATATTATTCAGGTGTTCTTTTAATTTGGTGCATATACCTCTTATAATACCTCAGGAGGAGTTGGGGGATATTAAATTCTTTGAGTAGCCTTCAATATCCAGGCAAGAAATACATCTATGTAAGTTTTCAGAGCTTTGACACACGTATAAAAATTCATTTGCAATAGTCGTCCATTCGCAAAACCCGACGTAGAAAGGGAATAAGGGAAGAAATGAAGAAAAAAACGGAAAAAAATGAGAAAAGATGAATGAATATATAGCAGAAAGAAAAAAATATAAGAGGAAAGGAAGGAGCAAGAAAGATAACAAACAAGAAAGAATGCGAAGCAAGAAGAGAGAGAGAGCGTCTCAAGCAATGGTGCCCAATCACTTCGGTCGGTCGAGGCGTGAACGGCGACCTGCATGAAGCGAGACCGTCGCTCTACCGTCCAGGACAGACGGGAGGCACTACATTATACACCAGTGCCGGTGACGGGTAGGTGACGCAGGACCCCGGGGTAGGTGACGCAGGACCCGGGGTAGGTGACGCAGGACCCCGGGGTAGGTGACGCAGGACCCCGGGGTAGGTGACGCAGGACCCCGGGGTAGGTGACGCAGGACCCGGGGTAGGTGACGCAGGACCCGGGGTAGGTGACGCAGGACCCGGGGTAGGTGACGCAGGACCCCGGGTTAGGTGACGCAGGACCCCGGGTAGGTGACGCAGGACCCCGGGGTAGGTGACGCAGGACCCGGGGTAGGTGACGCAGGACCCGGGGTAGGTGACGCAGGACCCCGGGTAGGTGACGCAGGACCCCGGGTAGGTGACGCAGGACCCGGGGTAGGTGACGCAGGACCCGGGGTAGGTGACGCAGGACCCCGGGTAGGTGACGCAGGACCCCGGGGTAGGTGACGCAGGACCCGGGTAGGTGACGCAGGACCCCGGGGTAGGTGACGCAGGACCCCGGGTAGGTGACGCAGGACCCTGGGTAGGTGACGCAGGACTTGGGTAGGTGTCGCAGGACCCGGGGTAGGTGACGCAGGACCCCGGGGTAGGTGACGCAGGACCCCGGGGTAGGTGACGCAGGACCCCGGGTAGGTGACGCAGGACCCGGGGTAGGTGACGCAGGACCCGGGGTAGGTGACGCAGGACCCCGGGTAGGTGACGCAGGACCCGGGTAGGTGACGCAGGACCCGGGGTAGGTGACGCAGGACTTGGGTAGGTGTCGCAGGACCCCGGGGTAGGTGACGCAGGACCCCGGGGTAGGTGACACAGGACCCGGGTAGGTGACACAGGACCCGGGTAGGTGACGCAGGACCCGGGGTAGGTGACGCAGGACCCCGGGGTAGGTGACGCAGGACCCCGGGTAGGTGACGCAGGACCCCGGGGTAGGTGACGCAGGACCCGGGGTAGGTGACGCAAACCCGGGGTAGGTGACGCAGGACCCCGGGGTAGGTGACGCAGGACCCCGGGTAGGTGACGCAGGACCCGGGGTAGTGACGCAGGACCCGGGTAGGTGACGCAGGACCCCTTGGTAGGTGACGCATGACCCCAGGGTAGGTGACGCAGGACCCGGGTAGGTGACGCAGGACCCCGGGGTAGGTGACGCAGGACCCGAGGTAGGTGACGCAGGACCCGGGGTAGGTGACGCAGGACCCGGGGTAGGTGACGCAGGACCCGGGTAGGTGACGCAGGACTTGGGTAGGTGACGCAGGACCCCGGGGTAGGTGACGCAGGACCCCGGGTAGGTGACGCAGGACCCGGGGTAGGTGACGCAGGACCCCGGGTAGGTGACGCAGGACCCCGGGTAGGTGACGCAGGACCCGGGGTAGGTGACGCAGGACCCCGGGGTAGGTGACGCAGGACCCGAGGTAGGTGACGCAGGACCCGGGGTAGGTGACGCAGGGCCCGGGTAGGTGACGCAGGACCCCGGGGTAGGTGACGCAGGACCCCGGGGTAGGTGACGCAGGACCCCGGGGTAGGTGACGCAGGACCCGGGTAGGTGACGCAGGACCCCGGGGTAGGTGACGCAGGACCCCGGGGTAGGTGACTCAGGACCCGGGGTAGGTGACGCAGGACCCCGGGGTAGGTGACGCAGGACCCGAGGTAGGTGACGCAGGACCCGGGGTAGGTGACGCAGGACCCGGGGTAGGTGACGCAGGACCCGGGGTAGGTGACGCAGGACTTGGGTAGGTGACGCAGGACCCCGGGGTAGGTGACGCAGGACCCCGGGGTAGGTGACGCAGGACCCGGGGTAGGTGACGCAGGACCCCGGGTAGGTGACGCAGGACCCCGGGGTAGGTGACGCAGGACCCGGGGTAAGTGACGCAG